CCTTGCTGAGCACCAGGAGCGCGGATGGTCCTGGACCAGACCGAGAGAGGGAGTCAGGCTGGGTGGGGATCAGGACTCCAGGGTACTAGAGGAGAAAGGCTGCATGGTGGCCTGGGATGAGAGGATGAGGTGGGGGCACCTGGGCACCAAAGGAATTGCACAGGCAGGGGCTCAGGCTATGGGGACCCAGGGGACCTAGCGAGGGAGGCAGGCACAGCTGAGAGAGGGCAATTGGTGGGGCTCTCCACTGTCAGGTCTCTTCTCACCATTCTCAATGAGCATCACAGAGTCGTGGCAACCCCAGCCTCTGTCACATTCTTTCTGTAATTTAACTGTCCACTGGAGGGGCAATTCAGATACATTGTGCACAGCCTTATATGTCCCCCAATTGCAGAGCAGGGCTTGCCGTCCTGTAGTGGGAAGAGCAAATCCATCTCAGCAGAGCTTCCCTGCCAGTCCGCGAGGACAGTCCTCTCCAGGTAAGGGTTCTCACTCACCTGGAAGCATGAAGGTGACTCCCAGGAGGGCCAGTACTAAGAGAGAGCTCATGACTAGTCTGCAGCAGAAAAATTCCCTTCTACTCTTTCAACCAGGAAACAAGCCCTTTATACTTCTCCTGACCCAGCAGCCCAGAAAGGAGGTGGGGAGGGGAAGACCTTACCAAAGATGGCCTGGGCTGTGCCCTCCCAGTCTGAACTGTTGAAAGACCTGGCTTGACGGGAGGTGTGCCCCTCCTTTCTCAGACCCAGGAGTCCAGCCTGAGTTCCCCCTCCCTCAGATACAGGGGTCCAGGCCCCAGTCCCTCCTCCCTCAGACCCAGTGGTCCAGCCCCTGGGCCCCTCCTCCCTCACACCTGGAAGTCTGGGCCCCCAGCTCCCTTCTCTCTCAGACCCAGGATTCCAGGCTCCACATCCTCCCACAGCTTCAAACAGAGCACCCTGACTCCAGGGTGCCCCTCATCCGGTTCCCTAGCCTTCTTTTCTCTTGAACCAGCTCTGTGAGTCCCCATCAAAACCATGTTTCAGAGTAGCTTTAGAAGCCAGTTTGCTCATCTCTCATGGCACTCTGGTCACCTTCTGGCCTCGGTGGAGTAATGGCCCAACTGCCTGTGAGGACATTGTGCAGTGGGCATTGGTTGGTCTCGATATTCTTCCACCCCGGCCTTCTCTTTCTCTGTTCTTTCTCTTTTCTTCCTTTGTGGATTTCCTTTTTATTCCCCCCTTTGTGACTTTCTCTCACTCTCTTTCCTCTTCTTCTCTGTCCTCTCACAGCACAGCATAGGCCCTAGGTCCCCACTTCCTTGCCATTAGGAAAGAGTAAGGATATGGCATGGGGAGAGCGTGAGAGTGGAGACCCAACATGGGTTGAACAATTAAGATGTATTTTGACAAAGCAAAGTTTCTTTGCTGGAAAAAGATGAGCACAGTTCTGTGCTAGAAAACCAGCTCTTTGGAAAAATATCAAGAAAATCAGTAGACTGTTGACCTAATTCTGTGGTGTAAATATTCCTATCATGTCTTATTTTCAAACTACCAATGGTTTAATTAAACCATGCCATATCCTCACTCTTTCCTGATGCAAGGAAGTGGGGACTCAAGGCCTATGCTGTGCTATGAGGGGAGAGATGAGGAAACTGGCTTCTAAAGCTACTCTGAGTCCTACTCTGTTCTAGGCCTTGGTCATTCAAGCTTGACCACCACTGATGGAGATCTTAATATTAATAGCCCAGTTTTATGTAATGATACTGAGCCAGAGAGCAGCTAAATAACTTGCCTAAGGCCACAGCATATGGCAGAGATCATTGTCCAGCAAAGATCTGTGATCTGGGCTCGGCGCCTATAGCTCAACCGGCTAAGGCGCCAGCCACGTACACCTAAGGTGGTGGGTTCGAATCCCCAGCCCGGACCCGCCAAACAACAATGACGGCTGCAACCAAAAAATAGCTGGGCATTGTGGCGGGCGCCTGTGGTCCCAGCTACTTGGGAGGCAGAGGCAGGAGACTCGCTTGAGCCCAGGAGTTGGAGGTTGCTGTGAGCTGTAATGCCACGGCACTCTACCCAGGGGGACAGCTTGAGGCTCTGTCTCAAAAAAAAAAAAAAAAAAAGATCTGTGATCTGCCTCTAGATGGTGACTGCCCAGGGAGGGACCATCTTTTCCAGCTCCCCCTGCCTCTAGGGAGACCACGGAACTACTTCTCCTGATGGAAGGTAGGCAGAAATGACTCACACTAGAGCCTGAGTGCTTCGAAAGCAGGAGTGCCTTCTCCTACCCCCATGTATTAGCTAGATGTTGGTGTCAGTCAGGATGACCCTGGAGCTCCCTTAGTCCCTGTATGTCTTAGTATAATAGACACCACCTTCCACACACGCACACACACATACACGCACGCCACCAAGTAGACATGATGAAAATAAGAGATAAACACCTGTTACATTACACTATGAAATTTTAACTTAATGATGTACCTGTTACAGCAGCCAGCATTTCTAATACACATAGCTTCAAGTGCTTTTCTTGGTTTGATATCCTAAAAGGAAAGCCTAACAGGGATTCTTCTTTAAATGCCTTGTTGAGGGAGGGTTCACATGAGAAAGGTTAGCAAAGAATGTGTCTTATTGAAGACTCTCTGTCATTAGATCCCACATGAACCCGCATGAAACAAGACCACCATTTTGTACACCTAGTCCTGGAAGGCATTGGCCAAGATCTGTTGCTGAGCTGAGGGAATGAAGGGGAGCAGCCTCCTTGGTAAGGGGCTCTCACTGGTCAAGAACATTCTCTAGACAAGGGGCAGCTACAAGATGTTGTCAGCCAATAATACACCACATCCACTCTAGCACTGGAGACAGGCTTGATCCCGGGACCTGCTCTTAAGCACTATGCCAGACATGGATACATTCATATTTTTATAAATGCAAATAGAAAGCCAACTTCATAACAAGAAAAGTTATTCTATATACTAACAATGAGAAACACTGTCATAGAGTGACATAGATAAGACTCTAAAGCATTTGCCTACAGCACTGCCAGTACTAGGTTTTATTGTTGTCATTGGTTTTTTGTTTTTGTTTGTTCCTGTTTTGCTACTGGGGGGAACAATTGCAAAACTTACTTGTTCATCTTATAGAAGAAAATGCAGAGGCTGAGAGAGGAAGAGGGGCTTGCCCAAGGCAAGCTGTCTCCTCTACACAGACCAATGGGTCCACCAAGTACGAGAAGCCCAGATCATGTCAGAATCTGCTCAGGATATTTACCCAGAGATGACAGAGCCAGACCCATTAGCACTTAAGTGGGACTGTTTGCATGGAGACAAATAGTCCTGTACGGATTGTAAATACTTCCTCCATGGAGATAAATACTCTAGAAAACACACTTTTTCTCCCTGAGACTTCCTTAACAATGTGAAAAGGAAGTATTTCCTCTCTGGGTTTTCTCAGCTCCAACCCCTACCTTTGTCTCTGCCCTAATCACCAGAAAAATTAGCTGGACGTCATGGTGGGTGCCTGTAGTCCTAGCTACTCCAGAGGTTTGAGGATTGCTCAAGCACAGGAGTTTGAGGTTGCTGCGAGCTAGGCTGATGCCACAGCACTCTAGCCTGGGCAATGGAGTGGGACTTTGTTTCAAAAGAAGAAAAAAAAAAAAAAAGGAAAGAAAAGCTGCAAGGATAGTGCGGAGACCACTCATATCCCCTTCACTAGGATTCACCAATTATTAACACTTTTCTGAATTTGTTTTTACACACATAGCACACACAGCACACACTTTTAAAATGTTCCTAAAAATAAGTTGTAGCTGTGACTGTCACCACTAAGTGCTTCAGCAAGAACCTTCTTCAGGACAAAAAGTTTTGTCCTACATAACTACAAGACTCAATGGTCTTGCCTTAGTAGTTTACGCTGGTATGATATTGGCTAATACCCCATTTCCAATTTCCTCTGTTTCCTAAATGACATCCGTCAGAGCTTTTTGTTTTCCGGTTGAGGGGACAGCCAGGATGGAGCCCTGGCTGCACTGAATCGCCTTGTCTCTGGAGTCTTCTTTACTCTAGGAATGTTTCTCTGCTTTTCATTTTCTTTCATGTCATAGAAAGCAGTTTGGATATGTCTGACTGTTTCTTTGTGATTTGATTAATAGTTTTTGGCAATATTCTACATGGGTAACCTGTGTCAATCAGGAGGCCCTTACTGCTGGTTCGTGGCATTCTTAGCTATTTAACAAGTCATGGAGGCCATGTGAACATCCTACTCCCTACCCCCAATACCCTTCTGCCTCCTTGCAAACATTGTGCCCACACTACTTCCAGAAAATCCTCCAGTATCAAAGCAAGAAGGATGCTTTGCTCCAGCCCCACCCCTTGCCCAGCTCTGCCCATTATGCAAATCCTCCCAGAGCTGGTTCCACTCTGTCACTTCAGGGAAAGGAAAACTAAGCCCTAGACTGAGAAGTCAAAGAGAGGTCACTGAGCCACCAAATGGACTCATACCTCCTGGTGTGTTCCAGGTTAACTTGAAGACATTCTCCACTAGGCACTCCTCTTCAAGTCTTCCCTGACCCTTCAGTTTAGGTCAGAATCCCAGTAATATGTTGGTTGTCATAAGGCTCCATATTTATCCCTTTTGACCATTAGTATAGGTGTAATTTCTTCACTCATCCATTTCAAAATGCTGACTGAGCACCTACCATCTGCCCAGCACTGTGCTAAGCACTGGGGACACTGGGGACACAACTGTGAAACATAGCAGACAAAAATCCCAGCCCTGGTAGAGCTGACATACCAGTGGGGGGGGGGGTGTCTTAAGAGAAACCACACAGCAACAACATTTTTTATAATAATAATAATAATGTGGCACAGTACCTTAAACTGAAATAAGATGGCCCCAGGTTTGCTTTGGTTTGGTTGTGTTTCTTTCTTTCAATTTAAAAGGTGGTGGTCAGGGAAGTCCTCCCTTAAAGGGCAACATCTAAGCAAAGACCTCCAGGTGGTGAGGCAGCCGACAGTTTTAGGAGGTCAGCAGGGCTGGAGCAGAGAGAGCTCGAAGGAAGTGAGAGGAAGTCAGGGAGGGAAACCAGCGTTCTCCTTATACTCCCACAGGCAGGGAACTCTGGCTTTGCTCTGAGGGATCTGGGGAGAGGGTTCCCAGCAGAGAAGGAGTGGAAATTGTGTTCCCACTGCTGGATGAGCAGGTGAGGGCAGCTACCCAGTGAGAGGCCATGGCGGCTGGACCAGAGTGAGCATGGGGGAAGGAGAGGTCAGTTCCTAAATATGATTTGCAAATGGAGTCAGGAGGATTTGCTAAAGGCTTGGACATGGGGTGTAAGACAAAAAGAGGAGGTGGGATAACTCCAAGGTGACTACTACTGAGTTGGGGGGAAACTTAGGAGAAGCAAATTGAGAACAGAATTTGGTTTGTGATCTTAAAATGCCTTTTAGTTGCTAATTATCAAGTAAATAGTTGGATACTAGTGATAAGGTCCATTCATCTCTCTCGCTCTCTGCTCAGTGCCTAGTAGACAGAGGGAGCCCATTACGTGGGATAGAATCAACAGTGAGCACG